TTTTCTTCAATTTTTCTTCGACTGGACAAAATATCAATGATTCTTAAATTTCCGATAGAAATATCGGTTCCGTAATTCTTCGTTAGACAGTCAGTTAGTACTTCTAATGAGTATTATATTAGTGACAAAAAATTTCATATATAACTTGAAGTCCAGTTACCGATAAAATTTTATGGTTTAAGGTATGATCAGTTTTTAGGCATGTTTAACCCATATGTAAGAATGGCTTAATTTTAGCAGACCGCTCTTTGCGGTAATTTACTATATCCATCACTGCCCTCGCTGCAGGCAACAATTGTTAATGTTCTTACTGTGATGAGAATGTATCAATGGCAACATGACCTTGAGGTAGTGTTCATCTTCTTTATGTGACCTTACTCCATCGCCTCCTACCTTTCCCGATAAAACGGCCGATAGCGTTTTCTGTGAGACTTTCTCTCTTGTTGGTACCCAGTAACCGAGTGCGCGGTGCGAGTGTTCGCCCGCTATCGGCTCCATCGGTCCGGTCGTTGACGTCAAATTGGCAGCACTCCGACGTCGGAAGAAGACACCCAAACTGTTACTGTTTGTGTTGCTCGAACTTACGCGCGATAACAAAGGGCAGCAGACCCACAGAAGACACAGATTCAATGGATCGACGTTGTCATAGAAGCACTTAGGAGGCGCCACTTACCAGGTGATGAGTAAATGATGACGCAGCCGGAACGCGGTCAATGACCGATAGTTGACTGGATACCGTTATGCCGAGCGGTTGGTGTGCCATCATCGTCGGTGCCACTATTGCAGCCGCGCGACACCGAGCCCAGGATAGAGGCACTGATATAAAGTCGCGTCTGTCCAGCGTTCGCCTTCAGCCGGCCTCAAGCATTGGTTGTTAGAAGGTGGTCGGATGGTCAGCTCAAGCTTGACGTCCATGTAGATATAGGCACATACAGCCTCTACATGTTGTGTGTAATACACAACCATTCTGCTGAGTGCTTGAAGTCATAGCAATCACGAGCACTCATGGTGTTCCGCCATCGCGAGCGCTAACATTGCCCAAAGAGCTGCTGGTGTCATGGTGGTTTTACTAAGTAAGCCGCTACCACCGTTCGCGATCATCCACGGTCATCCCCGAACTTCACTTACGGAGGTCTGTGTTTCCAACGACGGGTCGTTGCCTTGCTCGTCGCCGATGTTGCCGCCGCCATTGCCATTGAAAACGGCAGAAATGGCGACTGTCGGTGGTTCCGTCGGCGCCATGATGCGTGTGCCTGTGTGTGCGCAAGTTTGCAATCGTTCAAGTATGTTTCTGTGTATACGTGCAGGTGTATAAAAAAGGCGGCCTCAACGACAGGCGATGGAAGTCGCAGTGGCGCCAAAAGATCCGACGTCGTTTGAGGAAGCCATTGCGGAAAGTAGTTGCCGTAGCATCTGGAAGAGAGGGAAGTCGTCTCACAGTTACAGGAAATGATGCTGGTAAGAAGAAGAAAGAGGTTACAAAAGCTCACATTGAAGTTTGAGTCAGCTATTGGGAAAAAGCTTTTGAAGAACTAGCGAGACAGAGAAGATCAACGAAATGGAATAAAACTGAGTAGATGAAGTGGATAATGAAGCCTGATGGGCGTCGGAAGCAGATACCATTAAGTAGCAGAGAATCCTGAAGAAACCTTATCCGTTTGAAGAGATTTTCAAAATGCTCCTCATGCTTCTATAGCGCGCTCTTCGTTGAAGAAGGTTGCTTCCAGAATTTTCTGCTTGCCTTGCCAAACTACTCAACGTACGTAACGTCAGCTGCCACAGCATAGCGTTGTCAGCTAGGCTATGAAGATGGCAAAATCGTAAGCTGTTCTGCCTTTCGTAAAATCCAACAAAGCTCTAAAATGTAGAAGAGATAGCGAACCAACGCTGACATTTCCTCTAACTTCTGCAGCACCGACAATGACGAGAACGAAGTCAACTGCAACAGAGAGATCCGCCATAAACGATTGTGGAATGAACGGTACGATTATACTCTACCGATGACGAAAGTACAGTGGAACAAGGAAAAGTCCTATGCAAAGCCATGCCTACAGCTGATTCTCCAGGCGTCGCTGGGAAGAAGCGTTCGGAAGTTTTTTTTTAACCTTTCTCTCTTTACTTTTCACTCTCCGCTTTTGTCTTACCAGAAATCGGCGGCAGTAGCAGAGCTACAGTCGCTGCTGACGGCAGGTAAGGCGATGCAAAGCGTCAGTTTCTGCCCTCTGGATTCGTCAACTGCTAGAGGTAAACGTCCTCGCGTTCCTTCCTCCAGGAAGTAGGACGAAAGAAAGCAAAAGCTTTTCATATTTCATTCTTTCTATCCGAATGGCCGCGACAGCAGCCGAAAAAAGGAAGATGACTCACGCTCTTTCCCTTCGGCAATTGCACTGCTACCCGTCTACGCACGAGTTGAAGGAACGGACCTACGGCAGCTGCTAGCAGCGGCAGCGGCAGACACAGTAGCCCGAGTAACGTTGCATCGAATAGCCATTGCGATGATAGTGGTGGCCAGAAGAGCGGTGGAAATAACGATCTAGCTAACGGTCAGCGCACTGGACGTTTGACGACGATATGCGTTGTAGCATTGTAGTAACTGCATTAGGCTTCGGATGGAGGTTTACTTTGTTTGCGTTGCTTCTGAGGCAGCTTTCGGTCCGACAGAAGCACCAGCAGAAGCAACTGCAATATTTGCAGAAAAAAAAAATTGATGCTTTTTCTACAAGTGCCACATGGGGCGCTTGACATCGGCGGTAGTATCTTCGGAAGACAGACATACAACAGCAGCAGCAGCAGCAGCAGCAGTTAGGAATTTCTAACTTATTATTATTATTGTTGTTGTTGACTGAAGCAATGTTGTTTTGTGGTGGAAGACAAGTTTCGTAAAGTTTTTTTTTATGATTATACGAAAGATGTACGGGTACTTTATGTTCGTAGCGAATTCAAACAGAAATAATAGGTTTGTCGCTTTTGTTATATTGTGGGGCTTTCAAATTTGGCCAAGCTAAACGAGCTACGTCGATTCGCTATGCTTGATCCAGAATAAAACAGTGAACTTATCATTGCAGAATCTGAACGACAAATAGCTGGGATCCGATATGTTTATGTGCTCAAAAGTCCTATCGACGTTTTACCTGGAAAAAATCGCTTATGTTATTATCAGTTTTTGAAAAATTCTACTAGGCAAACGGCACACTGCCCAATAGAGTTCAGAGCTAGAGTTGAAAACTTGATCAAAATGCTTGGCTGGTCATATATCTCTGTGTGGATAGTTAGGTAATAAATGCTTTTCAACAAAAAAAATTATGCAGATTGTTAGATTACCCTGAATGCGAATTACACGCGATGATCCAACAATAGCTGTCCTTATGTAGATTAAATGTACAGGCTAAAATTTATGTCGAAGTTTTGTAACGTCGAGCACTCAGCTGATTTTATCTATACCAATAAAACTACAGTTCTAAGTTATTTTCCAGAATCTTAGCAAGCTCGTCTCCGATTCATATTTGCTCTGCGTCTGGTCCTGTGTTGTTTGAATATTATTTTGAGGTCACATCATAGGCCGAGGTTTACTTCACACGACAGTTGAGAAAAACCGCTCCCGCAAGATTACACTGCCGCCCTCCAAAGCTCTTGTGATATAGAAGGAACTATATATAAATAAATAAATAAACGTAAAAAAATATTTAAGAAAAGAATATAAAAAAGGGTTTATTCGTTATCGAGAAACTGGATATTAGAAAAGTCCGTATCTTTGGTTTCTGTCTAAGGTCAGAAGCAGGGACCGAAACTTTGGCTTCATTTTATTATTCAATTTGTTTGTTTTTCGTAATCATTTTAAATTAAATTTTTTTAAAATTAAACTAGTCTGATCCCCAATAAGTTTTACTGGGCAGTGTGGGGTGGGCTTTTATATATATGTAACTCTGGCAAGTGCAATAGCTGCTTTTTTTTTTTTTGTTAGAAAATCGAACGAGTAGTAATAGTGCACTGTTGTAATGTGTTTCAATACGACTTGATAACACTAAAGTCGAATCCCTGTACAATTAATTAGTAATGATGCTAATCCGTGGTCCAGATTACACCGTATGTGATGCATTTATTGACGATTTGTTTTATCTTCCCCAATTTCCCCAAACAACGGCCCATGTGGTAAAATCAACAGGAAAACACGAAATCTTATAAATACATACGTGTATATATATATATCCCAACTTAAAGTAAAATTCATTCGAACAAAATGAACATCATGGCCTTGAGTAGCGAGGAAAGAGCTTCTCGAAGCTTTCCCATCTCGGTAGAATGGCGAATTATGATAACTAAACGAGCTCTAAGTAAAAACTATCATTACTTCCTTATGTAGTGGCTTCTGTGATTTTCTTTTCTTTTTTGAATTGAGAAGAAAACGTAGCTCTTGAAGTTGTCCAGTTTTAGTAAAAGATTACACAGTTTATTCGAAAAATTTGCTTTTCTACTACTTGACAAACAACGATGCTTGGCGATCTTTGATAGGAGCATTTTTTGGAAGAAAAAAATGCATATTGCGTAAATCTTCCTATTTGTGCTAAAATGCTGATGATTTAACACTTGTTGTTAACATTAATGTTTTTTCATCAGAAAAAAACTGCAGCTTTGTTCGTATACTATCTTGACATCTCCTTTTGTAAAAAGATAAAAGGACGGTGATAATAATAATAACAAAAAGATATTGCACACATTTGTCAATTTTTAATGCAACATTTTATATTTTAAACTATCGACTTTTCTGAATAACTGTTTTCGTTGAAAGAATCCCCATATGTTAGAAGGACTTGCACAATTTCGAAAATAACTTGTCAAATAGTGTCCAATAAATAGGGGGTCTAAAATAGACTTTTGATCGTTGTAACAGAATATCCGACCAAGGGCTAGCTAGCTAGCTAGCTAGCTAGCTAGTTATCGGAACAGGCCGCTAATAAATCAAAACACGCTAAATTAACAACTAACGGTGTGTCATTGCCTTTTATTGTCTTATTTTTATTTACAAATCTCATTAGTTCATCTTCTATTCAGTAACATTTTCTCAATGAATCATCATCAAAACGAGAGTTATCATTTGTCTGTGGACTGTTCTTTGCAGTTGTTGGCTCGCCGTTCACTCTCGATACCCCGCTAGTCTGATTATACGTCGGATATTGTTTTCAATTTCGAGCATCTGACATGTCCTCCACAATTTTGCCTTTCGACAGAAGCCGACTTACCTGCACCCCTTCGCTCCTGTCGCTTATCTAAGCATTGATGCTATGCTATTCGTGGCAGACTTTCTTCCCGTATTTCCTTTTTGTCTGTCGCATACACGCAGCATCAAAAGGACGTTCAACACACCTATCCCATATTATATTAGCCCTGCTAGGGCCTTTTCTTATTTTTCACGTTTTTAAACCTATCGCGCTATTTCTTTTATCTCTGTCTACCATCTATTCCTCTGTTAAATCTATGCCTATCTGGCCCTTCTTAAAGTATCAATTCACTTCGTTAATTGTTTTTTTATATCTTTGTAGAAATATTTTAGTAATTTGCCTTGTCAGTCATGAATCATTCCTTGTCGAAATCATCTTGCAGGCGTTCGTTTTCACACTGTGTCAATAATAGATCGTTTATTATCGACTTTTCCCCAATTATATTTGTCTGTTAGAGTGATTGACCAGTTTAGTAGGGGTTGTCCGCATTATTGCTATGATTATTATTACTCCAGGTATCCAAATTGGCAGAGAAGCTGGATTTCTGTCGTTTCTTTCTCTACTTCTCGTTGCATCAATCCTGGATTCCTTAGGGTCTTTTTTTTTTTTCTCTATTTTTAATGGATGGACCCCTCTTCTTATTTAGTATAGAACTGAATGAAATCGGAAGCCTACTTTAACCTTCTCCTATTTTCAGAGGAGATAAAAGACCTGTATTATAGGAGTTTTCTTATAATATGATAAGTCTGTCTGTGTTTATGAGTGCTTTTTTCAATGCATGTCTGTACATTTGTTTGTGTGCATATCGTCCGTTACCATCTCATCGTCACATTGTTGGCAGACGCGTTCATACATTATATATATGTATATATATAATCCCTTTTCGCTTTCTGCACGGCCTTAAGCACTTGTCTCTGGTCGTCTGCTAACATCTTCTTCTTTTCGGCCGGCGTATGTTATCTCATTTCGGTTAGACTTGCACGTCGTCACCGGTGTTTTTCTTTCGCTCGTTCAGCCTGTCTTTTTCCACTCTTAACAATCGTCGGGTCGCCCATACACGACGCCATATTTTGTTTGTGGTCCACGGTGTGGTTGTACCAGCCAGCTTAGTTAATCCCCAACCATGGGTATGCAACTTTCGTTCGACTGACCTCGAAACTAGAAAAAAAATTCTTCATTTATATCAGTGCCTGTATGTATCTGGCTGTACTTCAAGAAGTGTTTCAGTCAAACCAACAATATCTTCATCGGAAAAATCACTCTTCGCCATTTCATAAGGTTTTCCGGCTTCATTTTCGTAGATTCACTAGACCTTCAAGAAAGTCTGCTTTTTGTTGTTTTGGCTTTTTCCCGCCATGGGCCAAATTCGTTCATCTGTAGGACCTAGAGACACTGAAAAAGATAGTGGATTTCCTTTAACCGCTCTGAGTATTGCATGTCTTTTAATTCACTCCAAATGTTTTCATTTCGCACATACCTGTATATTTATACCATATTTACAGCTTCGCGGGTGTATTAATTACGTTTGTGTTCCGTTCGTTCGTGTACATGTTTATCAAGCTTGTTACTAGTATCCATATTTTCATAAAGTCCATCTATTCAATATCGTCTGTTAACATCTCTACAAGTTACCGATCTTGATCTATACATTTTCTTTACAGCCGTTTTGTTACTGCTGCTAAATATACCTTTTCATAAAATATCAGATTTATAACTTTTTCTAGTATCGTTTATTAGCGTCACGGATATCTTCTTCTATCTATTTTGGATCAATTATTTCAACTCGTCGGTTCGTATTTGATTCCAATATTCTCCGTCTTCTTGATTAGTTCTCTAGTGGGGTGCGAGCGTTCTCGTCCAAACATCCCAGACTATACTTATCGATTCGTCAGACTTCCGTCTAAACATAGCATCTGATCAGTTGGAGGAGAAAAGCGTTCAGTATCTGAAGGCCCCAAGGGGCCTCGTTTAAACATGATTCTTCTTAGTCCTTTGTTGTCCAGCTCGGTTGTTTTTTGTCTTCTCTTTTTGGATTCAACAACTTTGACCTGTGACAATTTTGACAACGCAAAAATCACGTAACACATATTTTCGCTATCGTCTAGCAAAGGTTATCACTGAATGCTGCTTAATAACTCCGCTTTATCTTGCTGCTGCTGCTATTGGTCGTTGCCGCTGCCTGCAAACGAGTTTGGCTATCTATATTAATGAAAGAGTATTACAGCATACTCAACTGCAATTTTATTCAAAATCTTCTCTCGAATTCATTATTAGGATATCGCGCATCTAAATGTCTCATCTACATGTTTCTTTTTTTTTTTTTCTAAAAAAAATTAATTTTGCCCTTTTCTAATTCTCTTTTCCTGCACGAATCTTGAGACTGTAAAGTCATGTTTATAAAAGAAACATAATACGCCTAGATTTATGTGTATATACAGTGATATATCACTGTTAGTTTGTTTCTTCGTTTTTATTATGGGGCATCATTCTGTGATCTTTGCTATTAATCTCGTCGTTTCCACTGTCTCGATACTCGATGGTATACTCTGAGAAGACATTCTATGTAATGTACAGATGATATCCTCCTAGATGCACGATTTTAATGCACGTAAAGTCAGTTCCCTTACTTTTACGAACGTCAGTTTTTCATCACTCACTAATGTAAGAAAAAGGCAGGTAACTACATAAGAGTAAATCGACTAATCTGGTAGCTAGTATCTAACTCCTAGCGCTAGTAGTGGACATCCTTCTCGTATTTAAATCCTTTTGAAGTTCGTCCGAAGACACTGATTAACGGTTGCTTCCCAAACTCGCATTTTGTACGCTTAACGTTGAGGTCCTTCAGTGTATCAACTGGTTGGTGTTTAATTATGATTTGCGTTTGGATCATTGTGCATGAGGTCGATGGTGGCTATACGTTGTCCTGGTTTCCCTAATCCTACATTTCGAATCGTTCTGATTCCGTCCAACACTTTAAACGCTAAACACATCACTTATCTGCAAGTTTCTGCCGCGTACACGCTTGAACGATTTCATCAGTTTTCAGGGTCACCTCGGCTAAGGAGTCACAGCAGTTTGCGCACGTTTACACTAATCTTTGTTTACCATCATTATCGTGTTATTCAGTCTGTTATCTACATGGTGCCGTGGGACGGGTGTGTCTTGGCGCTGCCAGTCTGCTGTTACGTGAAATCGAGGTGTAGGCCGTGGTGGTCCAGCCTGTCGAGCTCAAGTTCCTTTCCAAGAGCTGTTGTGGTTGTGGTGGTTTGTGCCATAGTGTCGATCGCGGATAAAATGCTTCCCGGGGTCGTTTCAACCCCGGGGGCCGTAGGTTACTTTTTTATAGCAAGGGGACTATGCGTCTGCGTGTGAGAGCAGACGTCGGCTAGAGTGCCGGTCGAAATTGGCCCGGGCTCCGTACCTTGGGCGCAGGTGACCGTCATATAGGCCTTCTCTGTTCGGCGTCGCTTTTTCTTGTTGCACATCTTTACCGCGCAAAGTGACACAATAATGGCCGCGACAAAGAAGAGGAAGCCCCCAACAATGCCTGCAATGACAGGAGAAAACGGGGAAGAGCCACGTCATCAAACGAGTAGAAGAGATCACTTCTGTGTTAGTTGAGGACGGCGTGGACTCATATACACATATACGAGCGCACGAGGACACGAAGTAAATGCTTCAATTTTTTTTCAGTGTGTTTCTTGTAGAACAAATCAGAGCTGCAACTAATTGTATCTATTTTTGATTCTTGATATATGCCTTTAATAATTTCGTAGGCATGAACACCATCACTGAACGATTACGGAGTGGAGTTTTTCTGGATGGGAGGGCATCGGTGAGGTGATTATTACCCTCGACGTCCTGTGTCTGTGTCTGCAGATTGCTTAGTAAACTATTGATATAGCGGTTCGTAGAATGTCAATAAAAGGAATGATTTTTTTCCATTTGATTCTTTCTAGTGCGCCATCGTTATTTCTAGGCCAACACTATGAAAGAAAATAGGTCAGATCAGAGGAATTTAATTATAACATTTCTATAATCGTAGAAAGAACACAGAGCATCGTATGCGCGCACGTACGTCTCAATGGTATGTGTAAACTTATTGAACTTGAGTAGTTGCTCTACTTGAACTTGAATAGGTTACTATTTACGTGCTATTAGGCAAAAATCAACATTATGTCGGTTACTGATAGAAGAAACATGCTTCGAACCCATTGCAGCTGATAGTGTGGCGTGTAATCTCCGCTTTCGATTGGACGTGCCTTGGATAGATTCGACGTTACTGTACATTTTATGTGATTTTGTCCGTTGAACTAGAAAAATACATTGATAATTAGATTATTTCTCGCAGGCTCCTGCCAGTAGGCTCTAAACACAACATCCGTTAACTTGAATGTAGTAAACAAACCCGTTAGCATCGCACTGACCTATACCGTATAGCTGTATAAGACTGCAGAAGCCGGATTACAATGCTCTCTTGGTGCAAATATCCCATTCAAAGAATCGCCAGCTTCCGGTGAAAATAAGAAATATATGGAAAAACACTAGAGGAAAAAAGCGTCTATGATAGATTAGCGTAAGGTCTCTGAGACATTCGTTCGAAATCAGTATTATTAAAAGCTACGCTTTTATTCGTGTTAGATTTATAAACACGTATAGTCCAACAGGGGATAGTGTAAACCCTGTCGTTAAAGATCAGTCGTCATAATATCAGTGAACAACTGGTGTCTTCAGCGAAGGTTGAAGCACGGCTAATCTTTGCTTGTAGGGGTCTTTTTATATGACTTCTCTATGTGACAATTTGGCTTGGCGGCATAGAAAAAACCGAGCCAATACAACAGCAATTCAGTTTCAACCAATCAGAAGTTGTTTTTATCTTCTGGAAATCGTCTAAATAGCATAGAATTAAAGAAAACAGCATCTAGTATGAAATGATCACAGTATCTAAGCTTGATAAAGCAATCAAACTGCTTTGGTCGGAAATAAAAGGCGCGTCTTTGCCGCGGATATAAATATCACTACGCATGGCAAAAGATATATTGGCAAATTTGAAATTATTAAGCTTACAATACGACTATATCTCCCTACTAATATTGCAAAGCGATCAGTTTTCGTTAATCTGTATCAAACCCCGCAGAAGTTCGTATAGCTTCCATATTCGATGAAGGCTGCAAGGCTATGTCTGCAAACACTGTTATGTTGTATGATTTTTGTTTTTATGTTTTTAACATACATATATACTGAACTGAAATGGCTTACCGGATACAATTGCCTGATCTCGTTTCTTTGAACTCCTCTCATTGTCCGGTAACAGAAGACTAATTTCTGGCGAGGCTTGAAAAGCTCCCATCAGCGTGTATCCCACAACGCGAATGATCAGTTTGTGGGCGTGAGCCGGATAGTCTGTAACTGTAACACCAAATAATATATTACACGAAGATTAATTCGTTCCGTAACGCCTTAGTTCGCCAATTACAAAGGATTTCGATAAGAATTATTTTTGCTCATAATGAGTGCTTGAATAAACGCCGATATTCGTATCAGTGAGATATCACACGAAGTGCTACTGATAGAAACATTACGTATTTACATGTGTGAAAAAATGAGTTTGAATATACAATATTCTCAAAACTCTACTATTTTTTGTGTTTAATATTATCCAGAAATAGGTTTTTTGAACTAGGGTAAAATGCTATAGTATTACGCTTCCTTTGATGTTAACGGTTACTTTGTTGTATCCCCCCTTGCCACAAATAATTATAATAACTGAAACTACGGTCTAGTTATGGTGTTCCTTACCAAATTCACATAAAAACCTCGTATTCCTCTAGTGAAACCTAGCTGAATTTACCGCTAGGTTCTGGAATGCGTTACGAATAGGTATTCGCTGCTTGGAGCTAATGTAGCCCTTAGGCCGCGCAAGTTCCTAGGATCAATTGATCTATATATATACCGTTAAAGAATTTTGCCTCATATTTGCAGTGTTGACCTTTCAACTTTCTGGAGCAGATATGTTGAAGTTTCGCATCACGATAGAGGATCATATAGCCTTTTGGTCACCATTTTCAATCCATAATTACAATTCTATATATAGTAAGTAATTGATAAAGTTACAATATTACATTAAATAACGGCCTACGAGGTTTGTTAGTTAGTAATTCTCAGAACTACTATCATCATAGTTCTAATTATTCTAGTATTAGGTAAATTTAGTTTAATGTCGGTGTGTTATAGTCTTATATATGCAATAGAACTTGTCAACAATACCTAGATGGTTGCTTGTTTGCTGTGTTATAGGCATTTTGATGAACGTTTGTGCATGAAAGGATTCTGGCTCTACATACAAGCATATAACTGACTCCTATGCATGGTTTTGTTCGTTCTGACTGTTTTTAGGGTAAATTTTCTGGAGATCGGTCTCTGAAACGTCTGAAACCTTTCTGCGTCTATATTAACCCCGATATACGGCTTCTAGCCATTACAAGAGTTGGGTACAGGGGCGAAAGCCAATTCCTCTCAGATGGTGAAACCTGTAAACAGATATGCAGGTATAGAGTTACCTAGACAGTGTTTGGTCCTATTCAGGATAAGTCCTGGTTTGAATGAGGCAAAATCCGCTAATTCAAGAATTTAAAATGATTTCGTCTTTCAACAAGAACCTAATTGAATTAGGTTAGATTACGAGCACGGTATTAGCTTGCGATATCTGTTTGTTTACATGTCGTAAATATATATTTCGAACTACTCTGTACGTGCCGTCGGCCATAACTACTTTATGAATATAAAGAGAACAATTGGAAATAATTGTTTTGTGACGGTCGATTTATTTCTAACGGAGAACGAGTCTTCAACATTTACTGAAGCTAGAAAAAAGCTCTTGTTCTAAATCGATAACGAAATGTTACAATGCGATTTTAGAATTTGTAACATAACTCAACATACGGTATCGTTTAGATCGCTTTATTATAATACGCCCGCCATTTGAACTTGCGAAGCGTCTAAAGTTATGAAGAAACCCGTCATACATGGAGAAAAATTTTGCAAGCATATTCTAGGAATTGTTCGAACGGCGTCCGCATAAATAACATTGGGCCAATAAATTGCGTCATCGGCGACCTATAAATACTTATCGAACCTAAGCGAAAATAGATTAGAAAGTTTAGTTGCACAGCCACACCCACGAACGCGTATTTTGTAATCTTTACTTTCCGGAAACTAACTTTCCGGATGGACGTGACATTTTCCCAGACGATGCCAAGACCTTAATGGCCGACTCGGGCCTACATGTAGTAGCTAAATTCAGTTCGAGTGGTGCAACAACAAAGACAGTATTTATCTGCTAATTCTCCTTGAGAATTAACTTCACGGTACCACCTTCGTAACGGTAGTTTGTGTGCTGCTTTCTCCATGATGATGTAATGGTAACGCGTTTTGTGAGGTAGTCTTAGTGCGAAATCGGGCGCGGACACTGTTTCGTGCTAAAGGTCAACCGTTTCAAGCAATATTTAACGACAGTAGCACCGAACGCAAAACTCGATTTGTTTATTTATTGCTCTGCTAGCTAATATATATCGAAAAATTCAAATAGGTACTTCAGCAATTCTTGGCTAAAGCGTAAAATCATCTTTCATCAAGAAAAACTTTTCACCCCATTATCTGAAAATATTCCCTAACTACCAAATAGTGTAAGAACATTGAACATGCTGATAAAACAATTTGTGGATTTTGAGATTGGAACTAAGTAAATTAAGTCATGGTCGACTGTCACGTAAGTGACACTACATTTACCCTATATAATATAAATACATTGAAGCGGTATCGCTAGTTGTATGAAGCGAGCACTTACTACCAGCACTAATGATTCATAATATTGATTATTACAACTATGCAAACTATATATATTGATCATTCCAATATTTAAATTAAATATTTAAAATATATAAAAAAACACCAAAAACGATGTCGGACCGCTCATAATACCATCGTACAGTACATCGTCTCAAAGCTCCAGAACGACAGTAAATGATGAGTTTTACTAAGGGCGAAGAAATGTGTTGCGTACATACGTGACACTTCGTCGCAACTCACCCAGACCAGACAATTACTATACCTAGCGTTTATTTTAACTATATATTAACTATCATAGTGATATATCAGTGAATAGTAATGTTGAGAGGATATCGATAAGAATCAAAAAATAAATGGCTGTAAATACATGTACTGATTTTAAAAATTGAGATCAGCTAGCTTAGTTAAAGCGAGAAAGAAAACTGATTGACAGTCAACTTTTGTGATACTGTAAATAGCAATTTAATTAACGAACTACACGTTTTCGTCACGGTAAGTATTATATGAATAGGAACAGGCTGAATATTAGCAGGTCGCAAATGGAAACACCAAGTCTCGATCTCCTCTGGCATAAAAATTTTTTTAGATAACAAAAATCTATAAATAAATGAAAAATATCTGACATAATGAACCTACATCAGGAAAAAGCTAATAGCATAGAGAGGTTGTATTCGTAGAGATCACATCCAGCCGCGAGGATATCAACGAAATGTTGGCATGACTCAATGCATACTGCATCACATCCTGGCACTCGTTTCCTCCAATTAGATTATCATAAGCGAAGTGTGTAGATGCCATTCTCATGTTTTCTGCCATTATCACAGTGTTCAGCATTTCGTGCGCTGATTTTTTATATTTCTGTGGGTAGATTCACGCTACCACGACACTTGTGGGTTATGCTAAAACGACGAGCCTCCGTCTAGGTTTTACTTAGCCGCTTTCAACTCCTATTTTGCATTAGCACCGAAGTCCTACAAAGCGATAAGCTTAGGACAAGGGCCTTAAACAATGACAACTGGTCTGCTCCTTTACCCTACATCACGGGCCATCGGTTGGCACGCACCTGAGGTAATCGGTGCGAAAGATCCAAGTGAAGCACTATGGCGATGTGTGCTTACGGAGTGGATTTGTTTGTTGTACCACCTGTTGTTAACATACCCTGCCCTCCTATCCTTCTTGCCTATGATTGCATCTAACCGTACCATCATCCAGTAGCTGGCATCCTGTGAAGCTAGACATTGATTGCATTGCTAGTATGATTGCCAGGAACTGCCATCACTGCAGTCACTGTCGTAAGTCTAATAGGTAAAACGGAAGAGTCATTAGCTTAAGGCTTGGTGTCGCTAAATAATCAGTTGCTGATTTCCTCCCGTCGCACTGCCTAGCGGGACTACACATAAATATCCGCCTATCCAGCGTCAGGCTAACCTATACAGTCTACGCTATGCCCGCATGTGGAGTTCGTTATAATTAACTTTCTCCGGGCCGGTGCTTAGTGTTTCTCGAAACTGCAACTAAGTGCGTTACACTACACTGATCTTGTTCGTTACTAGTTCCGAAATTGAGCGGCCCATAAAAATCATAGGAGAAAGAGAAGTTCGATGAGAAATGGGCAGATGGGTTTAGAGAACATGTGGTCAGTATAGGCATTCCGGCTGCGCTGCGGTAACGTGCATGAATACCACAGGCAGTATGATACAGCACGGTTTATTATGTGTCTGTGTGTGTACACGTGTTACTGAAAATCAATGAGGTGCATAAGTTGATCCTTGGCGAGGACGTATATATATATATAAAGTTATCTAGTTACATGAATGCATCGTATGGCGTTGGTTGGAGCTTAGCGTTAGGTTGCTAGTAAACAGGTAGAATAACAAGCTATTCGTTCGTAATACTGTAAAGTTGTGTGGTGAAATGCTGTTTGATTTGGGACCATAGGTATAGTATTCGTCATGGTAAGTTAGCAGTTACTTCTGGAGCAGTTTTGAATTCTTTCATATGTGTTTTTGTCTGTATGCCCTGTACAGAGAGGGTCTCACTGTGCGTAGCGTGCATTATATAATGTACAATTCAGCTAGTTTATTTGGAATAAGACCGGTCTAAGTCTCATATCATTTAATGACTATTTTTATATTTTGGCGGTATTTGTATACCTTATCACCGATATTCAACGGCTACGAAGTGTTTATGTTATGGTGTTTTGGCACAAAAATCGTTGATACTAAATAAAAGCGTTGAAAATCTTATCACAATTATCGTTTCATTCGACTGTATTTAGCATGCATTTCGTCGCACTAGTCTATAGCAGACTTAATTTTCTTTAAATTTATATGATTTTCAGGTGAACAGAAGTGAAATATCTTTCCTAAGTACAGGTACTTTTATTTGCAAACAAGACTAACACGCGAAAGCTTTTCAGTATGAGGGTTATATTATCTCAATTTCATGGACTTTTCATAAGCCAACTGTAATATCTTATAGACAAAAAAAAATTTTAATCTATGTATTGATTCTATTAAAAACGAACATCGACAGAAAATTAAAGTAGAAAAATAAATTTTGTATGTATATATGCAAACATATATATATATATATATATGTTTGCATATATGCATGTACTTCGTTATAGAGTGATACCAGAGTTAATACATACAAAATTGATTTTTCTAATATAATTTTCTGTCGACGTTCGTTTTTAATAGAATCAATACACAGATAAAAATACACATTCTTTTTTTATATACATATATATATATATATATATGTATATATATATAATCATATATATTATATATAATAAATTGATAATCAACAACAAAAAAATTGTCTCATACATTTTCTTGCTGACGAAAAAACACTGCTTCAGATAGGTGCATATAAGCAAGAAAATGTATGAGACAATTTTTTTTGTTGTTGATTATAAATTAGCGAATCTGATGTAAAATATGCACATGTATGCCTATTGAGTTCCAAGTAAAATCGTGACCACCGCAATTTTCATCAATTCAGTTCATTCACAATTACATCAGTACTTTTTTATACAATACAGTAATTTAGTAATTTATTAAATTAGTTCTTTAACCTTAACTTTTTCCTTTAACCTTAACGTCCGTTCAAATCGGCTATCCCAGGGCTGAAACTTCTCTCCATTGAAGCTCCTAGTACCTCATAAATTTTCTTTACAATCAGTTTAAGCACGCTTATATTATTAACGTCAAGCTTCATTTCTTTACTTTATCAAAAGTAACCTTAGTGAAACAATGCCGCTAAAATAAAATTAAAGTGTTTAGCTTGTTCCAAGTGAATCTTCAAAGCAGGATCACTTCGCTGCGTATAGAATACCGAACCCTTTTTCTCTATCTCATGCACTAGTCGTTACTTAAACATCGGAATAGCGCAAAACATTAGCGAGTACTTACGAAGGTACTGCATTCTTTGCATGGACTGATTTGGCCCGGGAACGATGTTCGACTTGGATCGAACCCACGCATTACTCGTCTCGAGTTTGTACTCGACGGTGTAATACGAAACGCCTGGCAAACTATGGTTGCCTCCCTGACTCCCGCCGCTGACAAGGGGTGGTGGTGGGGGTGACCACGATACGTGAATGCCCGTCTGCCCTGGAAGCGGCTCCTTAACAACGACAGCTTGGGGAGGAGGCGGTTTCGGACCTGTAGGTGTGCGATTTACCGTCGGTATATAGGTCGCGCCGTAAGCATCCGTCGGATAGGCTCCTTCGATGTAATTCCATTCTGGAAGATACAGAAAAACAATGAAAACTGTTGATCAAGGTGGATGCGCTGGAGTCGTTCAAAGTAGAGTCGATAACGGTGTACTTTAATATTTGTGGTCTATTATTAAATACCCAGAATGATAATAATAATACATTAAATATATACTAAGCTGTGTTTATACATTTCATATTGTTATATTAGCCTGCTAATGTATTCTTAATTCTAGAAAAATATGCCAGACAGGCTATGCCTTAGGAAGATAATTTCGAAATGTTGGATTTCATCTTGTTTTTTTGGCTTGATTTATTCCTCCGTTTTCAGAGATCGGTGGCTTTATGATGATTTATTTTCCAGCTATTCTAACATTTGATTTGCGCTTGCCTCGCCCATTTCAGCATCGTCGGCGCACGTTCCATCCTGTACTTCTCCCTTGGTACTACTAATAGACTTTTTGAATTTTGCAGAAATACCGCTGAAGAGAGCAACGCAATCCGACCAACGACGAAGGCCCAGAGCAATGACCTGAGAGGCGACGCGGACGCTAGACATCACTAAGTGCTCTGTATAGTATGTGCTCGGATAGGAGAGGCATACGACGGTGTGCGCGTTGTCCTTATTTCCACCATGACTTCGTCGCATTTCGTCGATGTGTACATGACGAATAACGGTTGATTGCAGCTGTAGTAGTGGTGGCAGCAGTCATTTGTGTGTGGGTACGGGACACTATAACCTACGTCTGAAGCAGGGCCAACTGATTCTGGCTTCACGGGCTCGGAAGAAAGAAGGCCGACCTAGAGTTGGAAGAGGACGGGAATGCAGGACATATGTGTATTGAGCTCGGCAGAAAGAGAGCACGTGCTCAAAGAGAAAAGGTCGTGGCATCCGAAGGCTCTCATCGAGGCGACGTGTATTGGAAGCTAGTGTGCGGTTCCCTACAACATGGATGGACGCACATATATATGCTGTAGCTACTTACTTATGGAGCATGTCTTATGGCATGAAGGCAGGCCGGGGGTTGATGCTGTAACAACATGGAGCTCGTCTGATTCGGTTCGGCCAGAGAGAAAATTAGGTTAGGAGCTGGTTAACTAAGGGCAAAGGGAAGACCAACCATGTAACGCTAGAAAGCCAAGATCCCTATGGGGCTAGAACTCTTGCAGGCGGTAACTCAGGTGCAAGCAGGAATTATCTCCTGGACAGCAAAGCCAAGTAGCCATAACGTTTGAGACTCATATACGACTGTTAGTAGTAGTGGGGAGGTAGTAAAGTCTTACGACACGACGTTTGTGGTCGACCAGGACGAGCACTGTTATGATGACGGATCGAAACGAAGGTACGGATAACTTGCTTGCGTTCGCGTGCCTTCAAGCATATGCCCGTAGCAGACGAATTCCTAATTCTAGTCTACTGCTACCGTCTAAAGGTAAAGTTTGCCCACACTGGATCATCCTATCGTCTCCAGTACGTTAACCACAGCAGCTAGTGTATGGGGACTAGGCAGCAGATTGCGTCAGATGGAACACGCGGTCTACGCTTATGTTTGTATAGAGATGTGACTGTGAGGTTCACATGATGTCCGTATGTATTCACCGAGAAGCGCCGGCAGCCGATTGCATTTTGACAAGCTTCGTTATTTGCACTAGCTTGCCACCAGCAACGGAACGAGTTCTATGGAGAGGAGAACCTGGCTCACAAACCACGTATAAAACAGTACTGATAGTGGCAGTGATATATATATATATATATATAGAGAGAGAGAGAGAGAGAGAGATAGGGAGAGAAAGGACATATGGAATATAATTTACATAGGTGGAGGCTATCGCAACGCGATACCCGAACTGTTGTGAAGTTCGCGGTGCAATCGAGTGCCTGAAAAGTTATCTGCTCAACTTCGACTTAAACTGGAGATCCTTAAAAAGTTTAGCTATGATTGGAGCATATTTTGACTATAAATTAAACTCGATTACACTAGGAAGAGAGTTAAAGAAGTGGATCCTTGAAACAAAAACGAACTTAAGTGACTCATAAAAACAGTTCTCATTAAACATATGTACGTCGTTCGTATGCTTACTGAAAAATTCCGGGATGAAAAAACTGCTCAGAGTTTCTCTACGGAAAGCTAAGCATCTTATAGAATTATTTGAAGAGATTATCTTTTTGGGTCTTATCTGTTTGTCTTGTCCTTGAGGGGAAGACTTATTAAAAGGCTGGTAGAGCCCTTGTTAAAAGAGGGCCAAGCTATAGTTCCGCCTAGGGCTACACAGGACGGAGCTCAACTTTAATTTTTTATTTAATATCAATTCAATTTAACAACATTCGAGGGCTCAAACTGCGCAGTAAAGTAAACGATGTTACAGCGTTCTCTAGGTGCTCCTTTTTGTCGTCACCTTGCACGTCTATTTGATTTCTCTCTATTTTCAAGTCACGTTCTTTTTCAGCGATTCTTCCACATCCTTACCAACGCACTATTCATCCATTACCAACGATCCTACTCACAGCTATATCTACATACGCCTAGAACAAGTAGAGGAAAAGCGTTGTGATTTGTACATTACTTACTGCTTGTATTTGTGAGAATTTTCTCGCTAAAATAGCCATCACCAAACGCGTTCCGCGACAAAACCTGAAACTCGTACACAGACTCGGGCTGAAGGTTGTGAATGGTCAGGGCAACGGCATTTTCTGGCACGACGCGAATCGTTCGCCAATCGACGTCTTCTTGGTGCGCTAACCGATACCAAATGATATATTCCTGCTTGTGCCCGCCGTCGTAACCGGGCAGCCACGATACAGTCGCTGCGAAAGCCGATGTGTTCACCGAGACATTGGTCGGCGCGTGTGGGGTCGTGCTCTCGACTAGGAGCAAACTCGACGTGACAAGCGTTGCCACCTCGTTCTGAATAATGCACTCGTACCTACCATGGTCCTCCTTCTGAATGCTCCGTAGCGTCAGATTGCCTGCGCGCCGATAGCAAACGTAGCGCAGGTTGTAGTGTCAGAAAAAAACTGTGAGAAAATAAATTTTGTGCTAGTTATCAAACGTAGATAGTATATGGCCAGACGTTATGTAAAGTTACACTAATCAGCTAAATCACTGAAATGAGAGAGAGAGACGGGGAGGGAGGTAGGGAGAGAAGGATGCCAACGATAATAAAGTACTTGTTGATTTAAAACATTTAAAGGCACCTGTCAGTGTCACGGTAAGTGTTGCCTTGAATGATATTTTAAAGCAACGGCAAAATATTAAAGGGTAATTTTTCTTTTAATTTCGAAAAATAAAATTTCTAATGCTCTTAGTCGGTTAGGTGAAGCCTGGATTTTTTGTTGGCTGGGAGCATGTACAACAACGAAAACGATGTTATGATCTGGTAATACACCTTTACGCTATTTTTCTTGGATTAACTTTTTTCTTCAAATTTTGCTGAAGCTAACCACGTGGTGTACGCTTAAAGCTATATGTCAGTGCTTGAAATTATTGAATTCGCCATAGAACAACTACCAATCTTCATTAACTTCTACAAATAAATGTTTTGATTTTTACGTCCGATGTTGCCATTGAACATCGTTTGAGAGGCCTGGCCCTACTCAATTAATTAAGCTTTTCTTTAGGCGGCTGGCCCGTCCAGCATTAGTGGAGGTGTATATGCGCCGGGTTCCGAATTTAGGCCACCAAGGACCTCTAAATTTAGCAGACAAACATGTTACCACAGCTTTACTATGGCAGACACACGAAAATATACAAACATGAATCTGTTACAAGCCATTTCGATTGTTTGCCTATTATTACGTTGGGTCCAAGAAGATACATGCCAGAATCCTCACCTTTATAAAGCAGATGTCTCTGCTTTGGAAGCGGTTTACCATCAGCTCTGCGCCACGTAACTGTCGGCGCCGGATGACCCTTGCCTTCACAGCTCATTGATATCTCCGTGTTACGCGGCTGCTGATAGATCTCCTTCGGCTTGATACGGAATACAGGTGGCTCTCTGACCAGCACCTCCATGATCTTCGATGCGCCTCCGTTACCGTGGATATTAAACGGTGAGCACAAATATCGGCCCTATAAAGCGACGAGGAAGTAAATGGTAGACGAAAGATCGATCGTAAGCGTTTGAAGATCATGGCGTGTTTGTATTTTTCTTTTGTCAGCCCTACTAAGCTAATATGGTTGCTTCGATTGTTAATGTTCTCACCCCATTGATTTTCAGTTCACGTAGCAGGCTCGCAGCTGCTTTGTCACTAATTTCTCTTTACTTTGTAATGGGTTTTAGATGGTTTGTCTTCTTGAGCTCATCCTTAAGATTGAGCGGATTGTAACAGTTCACGCTGAGACCCGTCTAGCGATTACGTCATTCGTTGTGGGCCCGCGCGGAATACTCATCGCTTAGAAAATGTCGCCCTACGTAGTGGACATCCAGCGTCCCAACGGTACTCCTATCTCCCTTTTTCTAGCTGGTTTGTCTCGTAAATTTTTCCAGATTGTCCTTGTGCCTGGGGGAAAACCGAAGCTTCAGACAAACTCTAGCGCCGATAGAATACACATCAATAGTTCTACAGCAAGGACCTCAATAAGAGAATGGATCGTTTCGCTAGTATTTACTGTTTAGATCTTCTCTGCGCTGTTTTTATGATATCAAACAGTGAAAATGGCCCCCCTGGAGAAAATGTTTTAGAACAAGCCGGCCAAGGCCAGCTCGGGGGGGGTGCAACTCATTACGAGTTAGTAGAAACAATAGATCTTCATAGATGATTTTTTCACTATACACTTAAGTAACGTACAGTAAAAAAAAACATGTGTTATTAGAACAGACGCACTCCTTTGACTACAGGTGATCATAAATGAAGATTTTGCTTCTGGTGTTCAGCATAGCGAAACGAGCTATTCTGTAACGGCTGATCTTACCTGATGCTCGTGCGTTACGTTCTGGAAATAGAGACTGCCATTGTTTAACATAACGATATCGTTCATTGCGTTGGCATCAAATGGTCGCCGGTCCTTATACCACGTTACGAATTGAATATTGGGATTCGATTGAATAAAACACCGAATCATGCCTGGCAGGTGTAATGGCATATACTGAAAATTTGGGGTGAAGTTAACTCTTGCCGGGTACTCGATGTTCAGGTACGCAGTTGCGGAGTCCGGCTGTCCAATGCCTGCAACAAAAGATATTAATTATTGATTTATTTGCAGAGAAAAAGCAGACCGGTAAGCCTACCTAACCTAGTAGCTCTCAAGAACCTAGCTAAGTAACACTCATAAAATAAACGACCACTTAATTATAGCCAATATATTTATTGCTTATTATAATGACAGCTGATAGATACTACTAGTCGGTAATGATTGGGATTGACGAGTTTACTCTTTTTGAACATTCGAATATTAATAAGTCCGCCTGTGGTTTTTGTTGTTATTTTATACTGTTATGATGTTGTCTGTTGATTTGCTGTGCTTTATTGTTATCCTATTAAAGATTAGGGCAGATGATAAGAGTATTTTTAGATTATAATCAAATTCATAGCAATAGCTAAATTTTTTATATATTTTTTGAAGGAAAATAAACGATAAACGAATAAATCTAATTCGGGTTAAATTTAGAAGAATAAAAAATTGTGTTCAATAAATACAATCTCGTTGTTTATTGAAAATGATTACAAATAAAACTGAAAGTATGTTTAAGTAAAAAATACATAAAAAGTTTATAAATGAATAAGAAAAAAAAATTAGTAAAAATCTTATCGAATATTGTTAAATTCAAAGTGATCATTTTAACTATACAGGGTGCAGGCAAAAGCCTCTGTGTTTTTCAGGTCTCGGTAATAAATAGAGAACGAAAAGGGAAGGTATCCTTTTCTACTTTTTAATGTCCAGGTTTTACCAGGAAGAGTTACGTTATTCGGTGTCGTTCCTGGAATTCTCGAATCTCTAGTCGAGCCTCGCTCTAAGGGTATATGAAACTAGGTGTTTAGAATGCCATACGAGCTAATCATTTGGTATACACTAGCGGTCATTTTGGTGACGGAAATGCGCGTATCGAGAAAAAAACCAGTCACTCTGCTACTTCTACAAGCCTATAGCTGCCAATCCCCTGGTTTAATCGATATTTTAATGTCGTTATGTTTCGTTTACATTGCCACTGTGGTGCGAGCTGTTATTTCACTGAGAAATTTAGCAACTCTTTACAAATAAAACTGAAAGTATGTTTAAGTAAAAAATACATAAAAAGTTTATAAATGAATAAGAAAGGGAAAATTTATCTAAGAGTGCGCAGCGGGGACCATAAACATATCTGCAGTTCCTGAGTGTGACCTCATTAAGGCAGTCGTAATAATGTATTTGGAAATTTTGAAAAGCTCAAAAATGTTTCAAAATTGTATCTCCCTTTCCACTTTCAACTGAAAATTTGCGGTGGAGTTA